ACACAGTCTTGGTCATCGACTCTTAGACATGCTTCGATAAAAATAGGAGACCAATATGAGTTTGCATTACTGAGAAATCAATTATTTCGTGTAAAAAAGCAGAAACTTAGCTATAACTTGCGAAATTCGTATCTCCACAAGAAAGCACCATGGCCCCGTCCCCAGATAGGCTTTTTCACTCTTCACTAGGGCCTACCTTACCAACTTATTCTCACTCGAAAGGCTTTTAATCACCTCCAGAGGTTCCCTCGTGAGACGTAGCTGCCATCCTTGAGATATTGGTACCTGTAAAAATTTTGCAAAGTCCATCATGCAGGTGTCAACAGCCGTTAATTTCCTGCTTGTGGAGGCAGCTTGGGGAAAGGTGGAGTACCTGAGAATACCTTCGTTTGAGAACTTCGGAGCAGATGTGCTCGGGGATAACTATAGGATGCAACCGGCATTGAGCATACAGCTGAAGCCAGTGATCCCAAACTGCTTGCCGAAGTATTACCAAGGGTACGTTGGAAAGACGGTACCTGAGTGGATCCGGAAAGGAAGAGACTGCGTGAGTGTGCTGATGGAGAGGTGTGATTGTGACATTGTTGAGGTAATGATTCTGCTTGTGTGTCCTTTCCGGAGGCGCTACTTCTAGTCTTCGTAGGTAGTCTTGCGCACGTACGAAGACTACCCATGAGGATAATTTTGCTATAACAACAATAACTAGTAAGATTATCGAAGATAACTGATTCATCTCGATAATTTCCGAGAAAATTATCGTGGTTTTTAAACCACGATAAAATTATCACGATTGAGCTTCTAGTTATAGTATTATGTGGTTTTTTCAAGGGTCATGGGTATATTGTGTTTCGGTATGTTTCCTCTTTGCCAGAGATTCTCTTTCCCTCTTTTTAAACAAGAAAATTTCTGCTGCAGTTTGAATTGATAGTATACTCCATTTCTCTTCGAATTTGTTTTCTCGCGTCCAGCTAATGCAACACTTTGATCGATGTGGTAATTATTATGAACGTCCAATTTAATGATTTTCACCTATCTTAGTGCCTTGAACACTCTGTTAGTCGTTTTTCTGCCATAACGAAAACGTTTGTATTGTTCAAAAACATACCATTGGATAGCCTTGAAATTCTCTACAAAGTAAGCTGGTAACAATATTCAGAAAGGTGGGGCCAGTCATTAAAGATATGGAAAAGAAGCTTTTGGATGTTATCTAAGCAGTATAGTGTGTCATAATCACAAGGACTCCCTTGTTTTTGACTTTTTAGTAAAAGCTGGAACCAATCTGAATAATGTTTTGAATAGCCGGAAGATTTTTCTATTAGAGATGCATATCGCCCTTTCATAAGAAAAGTTGATAATAGAGCTTCTGGGAAACCTGATCGCTGCAAGACCAAGTCCTTAGATTTTGGTCTGAAAATTTTGCAAACCATATGATCTGATAGAGCAAAGAATTCTAAACAAAATAAGACATCTCGTGGCATTCTATAGTCCTCTTTCACGTAACTGCAGTCGATTTACCATTAGCTACAAAGGGCGTGAAAGTCACCAAAATATTCCGGTGAAAAAGCACTGCAGAATGCTGGCAGATGTCTTATTTGGTTCAGAATTCTTGGCTCTATCAGGCCATATGGTTTGTAAAATTTTCGGACCAAAATCTAAACCAAGACGGCGCTTAATGTTATTCATGTTATTAACTTGAAATTTATCGCGATAAATGATATTTTTATCCACCCGTCACCGATTTTTCCACTATTTATCGAAAGGAAAAATTCACCGCGATAAATTATAGCAAATTATAATATGATATATTTATCAACAGGTATCGCGATAAAAGATTTCTGCGATGAAAAAGTTCTTTATCGCGATAAATTTTTCCCTTAGATAAATACTAGAAAAATCGATGACGGGTGGATAAAAATATCATCTATCGCGATAAATTTATCGAAAATGTCCTCATGGGTACGACCTCAAGGGCACAAACACGCAGAAGAGATGGTTCTTTGCAGCAGCAAGCGTGGAGGTGAAGATCAGCCTATACACTCACTGCGAGAATGGCATTCAAAAAGTAACAACTGGTGTTTTAGAGACTGGGATGGACCTTGATCCGTATCCATACGGCGTTTACCATCCGTGGCATATGCGGTACATGTACAAATCACAGCCTATGAATTTGCAGCATGCGGATCCACTGGATGTCAGCAAAGGGAAGTGCATCTTTCTTCAGGATGTGTTGGAGAAGCCCAGGTTCCGTTGCTACGTTGACACCCAGGGAACGTTGTTTACATGTTCCATGACCTTGGAATGGACAGTGGTCCAACACGGGTTCTCATGATCTATCACAAAGCCAATGTGAACGAAGCTGGCATTGCATCCGTGATCGATGAGAAAAGGAAATCGCTGGAAAGAAAGGTGAGTATGAAGAAGATGCGTAGCCAGTTAACTGGCTTTTTCTTTCAAAAAACAAAAATATAGCGAGTCCATGGCCACTCACTACTACAGAAAAGAAATGGTCTATAAACTGTCAGTTTACAACCTGTTAATTGTCTAAAAACCATCTAAAAACTGTCTGATTTATTGACCGGTTTTAGGTCTTAAGAAACCACTGTGTAAAAACGGCCAGTAAACGGTAAGATCAAAAAGCAGCCCGTTAACTGTCAGTAAATGGGCCGTTAATCACACAGTTAACTAGCTGATTTTTTGCTTTTCCGGTTACTGGTAGTTACTAGACGGTATTTTTGCAGACCTAAAAACGGCCAATAAACTAGACAGTTTTTAGGTGGTTTTTAGACAGTTAACAGGTTGTCAACGGGCAGTTTTTAGGCAGACTGTAAACTGGCAGTTAATGAGCAGTTTCTTGTCTGTCTTTTTGAGACGCAGCAGTGAAATTTTATTTTGATAATAAGAATTTGTACCGACAAACTTCAATCGGGAAAAAGAACAAGCTGAGTAACTGTGCCGTATTGTTATGCAATTAATAGCTTTGAAAGTGAATTACCCAAGTCATAGTCAACTTACATTTGACAGTGTTCATTTTAACAGTGTCATTGACGAAATGCACGAAACCGGAGTGTACTGTTCTTACTTGCGTTGCATGCCTTCTTTGTTTTCTTTTTTATGTGATATCACAGTCCTATTTGCTAAGTCGAACTCGTAATATCAATCTTTATTGGTACCAAGTGAACTTTAGATTATGTGCAGAGGCAGTTAGTCACAAAATAATCTCTTTTATTCATTATCTGGTTTTACTGTCAAAGCTCCCAATGTCTTTGTTATAATTGGAGGTAGACCATGTGTTCCGAATTCTTTTTGTGTCTGAATCGAATGAACACGTTCGTCAAGTGGATCACCAAATCCTTCTGAAATTGGTTGATGAATTATTGTATCGTGTTAACGTATTTTCGAAAGAGGTAGTACAGGCCCATGTATGGCTCTTCGGGATCAATGTATTCTAATATCCTCGACTCCATTCCCCACATCTCCAGGTCCCACCCCACATCTCCAGGTGAATGAGTATGCAAGGATAGATCAGGAACATAAGGCTTGAGTTCTTGTGTGAAGCGAAGAGTAGAACGCGGAATCCGCGGATGGAGGAAAAGCCAAATAAACATTTTGAAGCACACTCTTGTGTTCTCGTGAAGAAGTCATCGTTATTCCGGTTGAAGATATACTCGGTGTCAAGTATACTTTGGACATAAAAAAACATGTTAAAGCGCAAGATCACTCTCGATTAGTTCCTGTTGTTGTTATGAAAGGTTGTTGCGACGTGTGCCGATGCTGCTGTTGTGAAAACAAAAAACTGAACCAACTCGTGAGAATACAATTATTGAATCAAAAAATGCTCAACGTGTTATCATCGTCCACACTGAATATTCAAAACATAGTAACGAAATTCAACGAATAATAAAAGATTCGTTCATTTCTAATTCTAGCAGAAGTGCTTACTCATCTCACCACCCTCACCCTCACCCATGCTGGTCGTCATACCATACAGGCAGACAGTCAGTCAGTCACGGTATGACAATCTGTATGGGTGAGTATCAATTTGAGTGAGTGACTGACTGACTGTCTGTCTGTCTGTCTGTATGGTATGACAACCTGTAAGGGTGATTATCTGTTTAACTGACGAGGGAACATATCCAACTGTCAAATCGCTTTATTTTTGAAACATAGTGGACTATACGTTACTTTTGGTGCTTTATCAGAATATCGACAGGAGAACGGCTAATACGGTCTTTCAGATCCGGTTTTCCAGAAATCCAGGTTTTACACGGTCAAAAACGCTTTTCGTTCAAATTTAGTCTATCTTGTAGAGCACATCAGATTACTTACAGAACACTAGTTTTTTCTCTTTCGGACTGATTCTCGGTTGAATTGTAAACTTAGTTTTGATTTTTCGCACAAGGCTTTTACCCCAAAAGTAACCTTTCCTTTCCTTCTTCTAAAGTTTATATTATAACAACTTTAGTAGAACAGCAGCGTATTATTATACCACATCATATTCATAATTAAATCCTAAAACTATCTCTATGCTGTCCATTGTCTATTTGATGTCTCTCGTTTATCTGTAAGCACGGAGACAGCACAGAAATCATTCATTTTCTTCGAAAAGTAAGTTCACATTTCACACTTTAATTTCAATAGCAAAAAAAATTCACCATATTGTACGTATTTTACTCAAATGAATCCTACAAATATCCTGCAGTGTCTAGCGGCGTTGGTCGAAAAAAACTTGAATTTAAACAAAACCGAAACATCACAGAAAGAGCGACAAGTAGCTGAACATTTAGCACATACTATAACGTCTATCAGTAATTGTAAAGAATTTGAGTACGAAGAGGAAACAACAATAGATTTTGACAGTGACACCGATTCGGAAGACGAGAGTGGGGGTGACGGTAGTACAATACGTACAATATGGTGAATTTTTTTTGCTATTGAAATTAAAGTGTGAAATGTGAACTTACTTTTCGAAGAAAACGAATAATTTATCGTCAATTATCGTCAATGATTTAACGTCAATTATTAAATTTAAAGCGTTTAACGATTTGGCTAGAATGTTTGAGTGATTTATGTACATTATTCACTTATTTACCATTATTAGAATATTTATCAATTCAAGGAACTTCTCGTACTAATTTGGATGATAATGAACATGCAATATTGAAATCGTTTGAATTTAATAAATTCACAACAAAATTAATTTATTTTAAATTAGTACCTGGTGGTCATCGTTCATTCGATTATGACTTATTCGATCGAATTATTCGAAATTTAACAAATTTAAAATCTCTTTCATTTGATCTATTTACAAAAGAACGAAATATTGATGGTTATCGTCTACAAAAAACATTATCATCAATAAATTTATCTTATTTAGAATTTCGTTTAGTTTTATGTTACTATGACTATCCATGCCATCGTAATCCTCAAATAACAAATGAAAATGTATATTTATGTTCAACATTTACGCAAATTCAACAATGGAATATTTGTTGTCATTATGATGTATTAAGACAATCATATTTAATTTATACGAAACCGTGGATAAATAATGTTGCATTTGGTTGGATATTTGAAGTATTGATCAATACGGAATTAAAAAATGATTTTTATAATGTTAAATATGTTAATTTTTGTAATTCAGATAAGCAACATTTAACGTTTAATTTATTAACAAAATATTTTCCGAATATTATTCATCTGAGATTATTTCAAGAATTCGATCCTTCTCCTTCTTTATTATCGTTAAGAAGTACAACAGAAATAACAAAACCATTAATATTAAATTATTGTACGACATTAATAACACATGATAGTACTTCATCATCATATTTTAATCGTATTTTATCTGTTTTACCAAATTTAGAATATCTTACAGTACAAAATAATTGTTTATACGAATGTGAAAAAAATTTAATACCAAAACGAATTCGACGATTAAATTTAATTGTAACAAATCGGTTGTATGAATTAACGAATTCTACATTATGTCGTTTTCTACAATTGTTAGAATGTTTGTGGATTGAGGATAACAATGATACACCATCATCAGAAACAATGAACATTGTACAATTAGTAGAACAATTATTCACACAATTACCATTTTTATACAATTTTAAATATATAAAAGAAAAGAAAAATATTGATTTTAGTGTAGAATCATTTGATAAAATGCTTTTGTTTTATAGTGTAGAATTAGAGGACAACTGTTTAACAATATGGAAATAAATAATAGATTAGATGATGAATAGTTCAAAAGAATAAATAAATAAATTATTATACATTTACAATATTTGCTAGAGTATATCATCATGTTAGACAGTAGTATATCAATTTATTTTAAATTTTATCTCTATCAAAGTGAGAATAATTGAACTTTAACCAGAAACATTTGCTCTGAAACAATCTTCTACACTATATAATCGATTTGTGTGAAAGATCGGTGAAGAATGGCATATGACATAGAAGAAGACTATGATGAAAATTACGTTCCATCATATTGAATTGTTTATGTATTCTCAATGTTTAAAGATGATATCTTTTATATGACAATTATAATCTTATGAGAGAACATAAACGTTATTCACTATATGTCGTAGATATCTAGAAGACGATTAAGGCAATGTTCGACATCATATCTAAGCACACAAGTTACTATGAGTAAAGAGTAAAAATTAAATTTAATATGTGGTGCCACTTTTACGGTTTGGCATGAATAGGAGATGAAAAAATTATTTTAGATGTAGACAAAAAATAAATTAAATCGTTGTATGAATTTTAATGCGTCTGATTTACCAATGTATGATCGTCTTAAAAGATCAATAGACGATAAAGATTTGTCATTACGATCGATTCATATCCAACCGTGTAAGGTTGGGGAAAGGCAAACGTAGAGCAGTTTTAATTTTTAACGTTTTTATCGTTCCAACAATTGGGTCAAGTAAAGTAAAGTGTGGTACTTTTTTGTTCTTTCCCAGCGCAACTACCTTTAGAGTCAATCTGTAAGAATGGCATATAATTCTACCAGAAATGTAAGATAATAATAAGGCCTTACTTTGCATTTTAACTAGCAAGTGTTTGAGTATACTTTAGAGAGATAGTTGAAAGAACGAAGAAAAACTGTCTCAGATATATTATTAAACAATCTTTTTTGCTTTTCTTTACCGGTAAGAACGCAGTGAAAGATAACACTGAATTTGCTTTCTTTCACGCCTTTCTAACCGCGAAAGAAAGGCAAAGAGAACAGACTTATGCAACCAATCAGTATTTCGACTTTCTTTGTTTCATAAATAGAAAGGCATGCAAATAAGGAAATAAGGAAATCAAGAGAAAATAAAACACACGCCTTCTCGTTGCAGGCGAAACGTAGAAGAGCCAAAAAGAAACATGCTGAGAAGCTCATCTTAACACAAGTGCTAAAGATGTTTTTCGGTTCAAGATACTGAAAGCTTCTTCGACACATTTCCAGAACTAGAAGCAATGCGGAAGCTGTTTGCACTTGAAGACTGTCAAAGAAAAGCTGCCTCATTCACTTCGTTAGAACTGGCACAGTATTTGGATAAACAGTATTACGAATTAACTGGAGAGGTGAGAAAGGTTGTTTTTTCTTGGAAGTTCTTTTAAACGTTTGGTGTCTCTTCACTACGATACTTTGAGCAGTGTCTGTTATGGAGCAGAATCTTTTGTGAAAAGACAGAGCGACTATTCTGGAACTATTTTCTGGTTAACAAACTAGATCTCCACGCCACTCGTGTTATCTGCTTAACATGCCGTTTTGATTTTCTTTTCTAATTCACAGACAAAAACTACTGACGAACTCGTTCGGTCAGAGAGAAGCTGTCGCCTCGATCTTCGTCGTTGGGGATGTAAATTCGATAAAAACAACCAAAAACCCTATTGGGAAGGGCGTGAAAGAACTGATGTCGTTGAAGCTCGAAAAGAGTTTGTTCAAAATTTTATAACAAACAAGGACAGTTATTACTTGATAAGCGAAGGTGATGATCCTCAGTGGATCATTCCCAAGAATAATCCTACAGTTCTGTTATGTAAGTGCCTTAGCTCTTCATCCCTTCGCTAACGTGGTGTTTAGCCTGTTTTAGTTTATGATGAATCGTGTTTTCGAAGTGGAGAGACAACAGCTAAACGATGGATTTCTTCTGAAATGACCACGCCATTCTTTAGCAAGGGACGGGGTAGATCCCTTATATTGTCGGATTTTCTAACAGCACACCCAGATAATCCCTTTTTTCAACTATCGGTTGGTGAGTGGAGAGCAGCGACGGCAAAACATCCTGAATTATTAGAAGAAGATTATATTAAATATATTGAAAGGTCTGCATCGGCATCAATTCAAGTCGGATACGAGGGATACTTCGACAACGACGCAGTTATTAGCCAGTTTACTCGTTTGTTCAAGATGTTACCGTTCAAGGAAGCATATCAAAATCATTCTATTAATATTATAGTTGATAATGCTCGTACTCACAGTGCTAAGGAATTTTCGTTGGAAGGATTCGGTATGAAAGTTAACACACGCTATGCCGTTGATCAGATTCAATATTTTGATGAAACGGGAAAACAGCAAACAATTGATTGTTACTTCAAGCGTGGTGAAAATAAAGGAAAATCAAAGGGATTACTTGTCTTAGCGAAGGAACTAAAAGTCAAGATACCGGTCAACGTCAAATTAGAAGAATTGAAACGTTTGTTAGGTTTACATCGTGCATTTCAGAATGTAAGATTATTTTCCGTCTTCTCTCCTTTGTTATTTGAGGGTGTCGTCGTTTCTTATAATTTTTGTAGGCATCTAGGTTAGAGAAGGTTGCTGAGCAGTACGGTGTCACGATATCATTCTCGCCAAAATTCCATTG